GAATTCTTTGGAAACAAATCCAAACGACAAACAACGCAACAGATAATTATAATCCCCAGGCATAATAAAGGTAAACCAAGCACAATGCCCCATGATGCTGCGTATTCCTGAAATAGAAATTGTAATTATGAAACCTGGTTTAGAAATTGGAAATATTTATCGTCCTTGTTAAATAAAGACCATGCCATCGCTTAGCTTTTGCTCTTCTTTCCCTCCAGAAAATTTATAATAAAAGATAAAATTTGAAAAGAGAATTTCTAAATCACAAAAAAAAAAAGTTCAGTAAAGGTTACCTGACAAAATTGTCCAGTATACCAAGAATCCAAACATTTACAGTGTCCATTGTCCATCGGACGGCCACCATTTAAACATTTAATATGTTCACAATGCTGCCCATGTATGTATTCTGGTTGGGGACATCTGGAAATTTATATTTTCTCAGGATAATTACTTTCCCAACATATTTTGTATTTTCCTATCCATTATTCGATTCGAACTATTACATTGATTATTTTATACTTTTACCTTCCATTTATTTAGCAACATGTTGAGTTTATGTCAACAATTAACTATAATTTAATAAATTATTCATGTAGGTGAATCTAGTTTTCGAAGAATAAACTTCAGTTGAAACTTCCTGACCAAACGACTTATTATTTTCCAATTAAAAACTAGTTACAAACCTGCACGTATACTGTACTGGAACAAGATTAGGTATTTTCACTAAAGTACCATTATTGACGCAAACTATTTTTTCGCACAACTCACCCCGATAAAATTTAGGACAAATACATTCTCCTGAAAAGTGGAAAACAATGAAACAAAATTGCTCGAAGGTCCGAACCGAAAATTCGAAAATTCAAAGCTTGGCAATGCAAAAAAGGTAAAAATCTGCACAACAAATATTATCAAATGATAAATTTAATTCATTTAAGCTGCTGTTTGAATGTGAGATGAATACATGAAACTCATGCATGCATCTCATACTTTATCCAGAAATGTTGAGCTATGAATTTATAAATTGCAAAAAAATGATAAAAATAACTTTGCCTAAGGGTATTTTTCTCCTGAATTTTGTTACAGTAACTATTTTCTATGATGATTGCTTACTTACCCCTCAACGTTTTCATGCCTCCGTTAAGGCAATCTGCCGTTAAACCAAGCATTTTTTTTAGATATTCCAATGAATAAGTCACTATATTGCCGAAATGAATGCCATTGTTTTTGGTGCTACTATTTCCAGACTGACTAATTTTTGGCGTGATTTGTAAACTTGGTTTAGAAGGCAACGAAAAATTTCCATCAGTACTTATCATGGTTGTCGTTCGCATTGTTGTGAGCTAAAAAAAGTCTTCCATTTATTTATCAATACAACTTTTATGTAAAATTTATGAAGGAAGTTTAGGTCATTAAATGCGATAGTGAGAAAAGATTTAAGCATAATAAGACATACAGTACATTCTAGATTTATCACTAATATTGTCCAATCATTCTGTGTGTAGTATATCTTCAGGAATAATCATACCTCATATTTGCTACCTTTTTCCAAGGCGAAATTAGATTGATTCGACGTCATCATCATCATTAGCATTCAAATATACGAGATTGCATATTTTCGCTATTAAATTCTACAAACATTTAACATTTAAATCATAATAAATAAAAAAAAGAAAAGCAAAGCATAAATGAAATAGACACAACGATAAAATAATGGTTCAATGCAAAAAATAACCGCAATTTAAGAACAATGAATTCTAAATTACTACAGTTCAGCTTAAATACATCTTAATTAAGCAAAATAAAATATTTAAATATAATGAAATATTTCTACAGAGAGAAATAAAATTGTTTAATGTAGCAGTAAAGAAATCTTTACTTACAAGTACACGCATCTTATAACCATTTAAGATATCTGATAATTAATATTAAACATGTACATCAATTTCTACATGCATACAACTACTAATGTTCATGATGAATAATTAAAGCATCTCTAATTTATTTGTTATTTCTTTCCATATGATTTTTCATATGACTTTTCCATATGATTAATCAAACGAATTAATCATTTGGAGAGAAAGTGATACACAAACTGACAAAGGTTTATCACTACTTAATAGAAAACACTCGAAATAAATTTATCAACTTATACTCAGTCATGAAACAGTATGTTCCTAATCAAAAGTAAAACGTAAAATGAAACCATATCATATTATCACCCCATATCATGTTTCCCGCGATATCTCAGATAACTCACATGAAGGAATATCACATGATGCCAAGCCGTCAATTACTCAGCACGCATTACTCATGTATGTTTTGGATGTGTGTATGTGTCTGTGTCTGTGTATGTATGTATGTATGTGTGTGTGCACGTATAGTGATGCATGTGTACGTAAGTGTATATGTGTGGATGTGTATGTGTTGTGCGTATGTGTCTTATGTATTTTTGTGTATGTGTCTGTGTATATGTCTATATATGTGTGTCTGTGTACGTATCCGTGTACGTGTATGTGCGTCTGTGTATGTGTGTGTGTGTGTATGCATAAATTATATTAATATATATCTATTTATTCATGATAATTTCATATTACCAACGACCAAAATAAGAAGCAAAGAATTGTTTATAACGATTACCAAATAAATAAATAATATTAATTCCTATCATTAATACATAGATTAAATTGTGATAATATTATATTTGAAAAAGCAATTTTAGGATGGAATAATTTATTATTTGAAAAATAATCAACTGATTTATTTCGTCTATCTGAAACATTTTTTTGTCTCGAATGAACGGTACAAAATACCGGAACTGACATTTTTTTTTCAATTTATTATTGCAGTTCACCGAATTACTCTTAAAATATCGCAATTCAGAAATTCTATAATGATTTCTGTACAATCAAGCCTCTGATCATTATTCAAAAATTTCAAGAAAATAATCTTCAAATCTATAAGAAATCACTTTCGTTTTTTTCAGGCAGCCAAAAAGGCGATTTGCCAATGCGAGGAGGGTTAAGAACGGACGGTGAAATAATGACCGTCGCCAATAACACCGATACATCCGATTATGGAATCCGTTCAAGAATTCGAATACCTTCTACTTGATAAAGTAGAAAGTATTCGAACTGATGAAACTGGTTATTGAACATGAATTATAGGTTAGAAATTTTTGAAATTTTCTGGAATTTCGAAATTACAGTCTGTGACTGACCAAAATAGGAAATTGTTTATCAAAAATTTTTAGATATTTCGAAATTTCGGATACTTTGAATGTGCTTTGTTTTGTTTGTGATTATTTATGTTTTTTCAAATGCCGTGTTCAAGCTTTTGAATAAACTGTAACATTACATC